CAAGACAATTTGAAGAATTCACGAAGGAGACAAAAGTGCATCTGTGCACACGTAGGAGAACCCAAATTTAAGCACAAAACCTGCAGAGACAGCGCATAGTTTCTCTCACAGGTCTGACTTTGGACTCACTCACCTCCTAATGATTCCCAGATTTCAGATTTGCTGCTTTTTTTTTGTTGTTCTGGGCCCAGCAACAAGTCGTCTGCGCCCAATTTCCTGAGGAGGAGACATGTTTCAGATTACATTAGGATCACACAGTATGGAAAAATCTACAGAGATGAATCCATCTAACATCTGCAGGCATCTCTTGGTTCAGCAGCTCAAAGCATGGAGCAAAACTAAACAAAGGTATGAACGTATAATAGCCCAAATGATAAATGGTTCAGTGCAGCAGCATGAAGTTACCACCTGGGAGGCAAACCTGACCAGCTGATGGTCAGATGGGTCCTAAAGACTATACGAGCAGTAAACCCCAAAACATTTGAGTCTGCTAAGTGGAATTTAAATTACAGTAAAGCTCCATAAAGCAACCAGGTTCTCCTGAATACACAAGAAAATACCTTTATGTTTGTGTCTCCTGCTGAGAAAAATAAAGCCTCTCAGCAGATTGAATGCACATGAAGCAGTTTTCTCAGGTTATTTTTTACCTGTATGTACTGAGTAGGAACCTGGTACTTATCTGGTTCATAAAGGTACAAATCAGGTACTTATCATGTACCCAGAACATACCTAGTACTTGACTGGCACCAGATACAATACTGTATTAGGTATACCTCGTTATTACCAGATATATATTACTTTCCTAATACGTAGGCTGTACCTAGTTTTTACCAGGTTTATGAGTATTTGCACACCTGTCCCCAATCAATCATGTAGGGTTAACAAATATCCCCACACCTGTCCACTCCACCAACTAGGTGGGGACTTGAGAGTATCCCTATTTCAAAAACTGCCTCCCTCCATTTCCCTTTACTGTTCCTTTAACCAGGTCTATCATGTTCTGAGTATTTTGAACCCAAGTGCAGACAGACATGGGAAGCTCAGGAATACAATAAGGAAATTAATTTATTAAAGAAGAAACCAAAAGGCTGACGTGGCAAAAAAAACTTATGTGGAACAAGGAGACACGGAGGAAAACAGCATGAACGACTGTGGGGAGCACAATCCACGGACGGGGAAGAAACACTGACACAGAACTTAAAGAGAAACTAATGACAGATAATGACGAACACCTGAGGAAAGACAATGAGGAACAGGTGAGAGTGCCAGGAGCTGGAGCTGACTGTATGGGGGAAAACACAGGAAGTCTGAACAGATGACACAAGGAAACAACTAAAACACAATAATCTCTAACACAAAACACAAATAAAACAGATTCTCACAAGATCAGTCTGTCTTTCTTTGGTTTAAAGAATTGCTCTTAGTCTGACCCCTCCTCTCGAGGATAGGTTATCTGGGACAGACTCCCAGACAGAGCAGTCCTGGGATCACTGAGATGCTCAACCCCCCACCCCCACCACAGTAAGGTGGTAGTTTTGCAGAAAGGATGTGCTGTGGTTTTAGGTTTTTAGTTTTATTTAACCATTATTTTTATCAGGTAAATCCCAATGAGATCTTATTATTATTTTCGCTTTTCCCTCTTCAGGAGTCTCCACAGTGAGTCATCCTCCTCCATCTCACTCTGTCCTCTGCATCCTCTGTCCTCACTCCAACTACATCCATGTCCTCTCTAACTGCATCCATACATCTCCTATTTGTCTTGTTCCTGACAGCTGCATTTCTACCATCCTTCTACCAATATACCCACTGTCTCTCCTCTGGACATGTCCAAACCACTGTCTCTCCTCTGGACATGTCCAAACCATCTCAGTGTGTCCTCTCTAACTTTATCTCCCAGTTGTTCAACCTGTGCTGTACCTCTAATGATCTCATTCCTAATCTTCTCCATCCTTGTTTCTCCTAAGAAGAACCTCAACATCTTCATTTCTGCCACTTCCAGTTCTGTCTCCTGTCTTTTTGTCCATGTCTCTGTCTCCAGAACATACAACATAGCTGGTCTCACCACTGTCTTGTAAACTTTTCCTTTGAACTTTGCTGACACCCTTTTGTCACAAATCACTCCTGAAACTTTTCTCCATCCTGCCTGGACTCTCTTCTTCTCCTCTTTACCACACTCCCCATGTTCCTGGACAATGGACCCCAAGCCCTTGAAGTCTTGCAGGTTTGTGACCTCTGCTCCTTGTAGCCTCACTGTTCCACCTCCTCCCTCTCGTTCACACACATGTACTCTGTCTTATTACGACTGACTTTCATTCCTCTTCTTTCAAGTGCATACCTCCACCTCTCCAAGTTCTCTTCCACCTGTTCCCTGTTCTCACCACAGATCACAATGTCATCTGCAAGCATCATCGTCCACAGGGATTCCTGCTTGACCTCATCTGTTAGTCGGTCCATCACCAGAGCAAACAAGAAGGGGCTCAGAGCCGATCCTTGATGCACTCCCACCTCCACCTTGAAGCTACCTGTCACCCAACACATCTCACCATTGTCCTGCTGTCCTCATACATGTCCTGCTGTCCTCATACATGTCCTGTACCAGTCTAACATACTTCTCTGCCACTCCATATTTCCTCATGCAATACCACACTTCCTCCTTTGGTACTCTGTCATTTGCTTTTTCTAAATCCACAAAGACACAATGGAGTTCTTTCTGACCCTCTCTATACTTCTCCATCAGCATCCTCAAAGCAAAAATGGCTTCTGTGGTGCTCTTTCTCGGCATGAAACCATACTGCTGCTCACCTCTCATCTAAGTCTTGCTTTCACAACTCTCTCCCACTCCCAGATCTTCATCGTGTGGCTCATCAACTTAATTCCCCTGTTATTGCTAAAACTCTGTACACCACCCTTGTTCTTAAAAATGGGCACCAGCGCACTTCTTCTCCATTCCTCTGGCATTTTCTCACCCTCAAATATGCCAATGAATATTTGGGTCAAAAACCTCACTGTCATCTCTCCAAGACATTTCCAAACCTCCACTGGTATATCATCAGGTCCTACTGCCTTCCCCTTCTTCATTCTTTTCAGAGCTTTCTGAACTTCACTCTCACTAATATTTCCCACTTCCTGTTCCACAGTTTCTCTGACCTCTACTCTTCTTTCTCTTTCATTCTCTTCATTCATTACCTCCTGAAATTACTTCTTCGATCTTCCCATCACACTCTCCTCACTTTTAGAACATTATCATTCCTATCTTTAACAAGCCTAACCTGTTGCACATACTTTCCAGCCTGATCCCTCTGTCTTGCCAATCAGTACAAGTCCTTCTTCGCCCTCTTTATTGTCCAGCCTCCCATACAACTCATAATCAAATCTTGGTTCTCATTACACTTTTTGTTCAGTTTATACTTTACATTCAAATTTAATCTAGTACGCCTTTGGGTTAGGTGGACCTCGGACAGGTCCTTGTCCTGTCTTAACAATATAATTAAAAGATAGCTCAGGAAACCCAAGCCAACCCTAACTATAGGATTTATCAAAAAGGAAAGTCTTAAAAGTAAATAGTTTCAGCCTCAAGGACTGAAACTGGAATTTGTTCCCACATAAGAGGAGCCTGATAACTGAAAGCTCTGCCTTCCATTCTACTTTTGGGAACTCTAGGAACCACAAGTAAACCTGTGGTCTGAGAGTGAAGTGGTCTGTTTGGAAAATATAGAACAATAAAGTCCTTAATATAAGCTTGAGTTTGGTTCTACTGCACTTGTTGCTTTACTTTTGAAAGCTTTACTTTTTTTAATGGCTAATCTTTGGACAATTTGGCGAGTTTGGCGGTGCAGATCTAACGCGTTACTTCTTTTCTCTCATCTGGGCAATTGAAATTCCAGCAGCTATCCTTCCCTTCCCTTTCCCCTCCTTTTCTCTCCTCCCACTCCTCTGTCTCTGCCACTTTCCTCCCTTCCATCCTTCTGTTCTCTCAATTAAAGTCAGACAGTCGTGCTGTTCGGTCCTGCGGAGATCTCATCTTTCTCAAAATGTCCTGGATTCGAGCACTCATCCTGTTCTTGCTCTCCACCCTCCTCATCCTCACCTGTAAGTACACCTTCACAGAAAATTTATAGAATAGTTCTGAGGGTCTATGATTTGCCTTTAAATATATATATTTTAATCTTGACATATCTTAATGCTTAAATATACTGTGCAAGAGGTTGGTCTTTCATTTAATTAAAAAAAAAAAATAACAACAACTGCTATTTCTGATTTTCTACTAACTTTAATCTTGACCTTGTGAAATAAAAATGTGGAAAACTCACCACCGTTTGGGGGAAAAGTCCTCAGGGGTATGGAGGCCACACCTAGTCTGTATGGTTTACCTAAAATTCACAAACAAGGTGTACCTTTAAGACCAATTGTTAGCATGATTAACTCTGTCACTTACAATGTTTCCAAATGTCTGTACTCATCCCTTTAGTTGTAACACCATGAACTTTGTGGATAAGGAGAGGGATGTCGTCATGGAGACTGATGAAACAATGGTCTCTTTTGATGTCATATCACTCTTTACTTCCTGTTGATGCAGTAGAGGTGGTCAGTTTAAAATTAAAATCAGACACCACTCTGAGCAGCAGGACCACGCTTTCCACAGAACAACTGTGTCAACTCTTGAAACTGTGCCTGCAGTCAACCTACTTCACATATGGGGAGCAACATTATAGGCAGAAACATGGGTGTGCTATGGGGTCTCCAGTTTCTCCTATTGTTGCCAACCTGTACATGGAGGAGGTAGAAAAGAGAGCCTTGACGTCCTTTTCAGGGACACCACAAAGTCATTGGTTCAGGTATGTTGACGACACCTGGGTTAAAATTAAATCTCAGGAAGTCCAACATTTTACTGACCACATCAACTCTGTGGATAAATACATCAAGTTCACACGAGAAGATGTAAAAAATTACAAGTTGGCTTTCTTGGACTGTGAGGTCTCAGTCTCTGATAGAGGACATTTACAAACTGAGGTGTACCGCAAACCCACCCACACAGACCAGTATTTGCAGTTTGACTCCCATCACCCTTTGGAGCACAAGTTAGGAGTCATCAGGACTCTGTACCACAGAGCAGACAGCGTCCCCACTAGCTCGGGAGCCAGGCAGAAGGAGAAATCCCACACAAGACAGGCTCTAGAGCAATGTGGATATCCTAACTGGGCCTTCCTGAAAGCAGAGAAGAAACCCAAACAGGACTCCAGTCAGCCAACAGGTGAAAAGGAGGAACCTAGACCCAGACCAGTGGTCATTCCATATGTTGAGGGAGTATCAGAGAAACTGAGACGTTTATTTTCTAAACATAACGTCCCAGTGGCTTTTAAACCCCAAAATACATTAAAGACTGGTTCATCCCAAAGATCCAGTCCCCTGGCACAAACAGAGTAATATTGTGTATGCTGTTCAGTGTCAGGAGGGTGATCAGTCTTACATCGGGGAAACTAAACAGCCACTGGCCAAAAGGATGGCCCAGCACAGAAGATCAACATCATCAGGCCAGGACTCTGCGGTCTACACTCATCTCCAGGCCAGCGGTCACTCTTTCAGGGATGAAGATGTTCACATCCTGGACAGAGAGGAACGATGGTTTGAGAGAGGAGTAAAGGAGGCCATCTTTGTGAAAAGAAATCGTCCATCCTTAAACAGGGGTGGAGGCCTCCGGGTTCAACTGTCCCCCTCTTACAATGCTGTTATTGCTAGTATCACTCAGCCCTCTGTGAACAGTAAACAGCCATCAGTGTGCTAATGATCCATTGTTAGGCTGATGGTCTTTCTTGACCATGTGAAAAGCTGGTCCTGGATGTCAACAAAAAACTGGTTGATCCACTACGAGAAGGTGCTATTTATAAGACTGAGTTTGTTGCAGCTCCTCAGTCTGAAGAAGTCTTTTGGATAAAAGATGAAACATTTCAACAATTTTTTAAAATTTGTCCAGAGGACCTGATTTAACTTTGTTAGAAAACGAAGTTAAGATAAATCAAGCTAAAATAAGTAAAAAAAAAAAAAAAAACTAAACACGTTCACACATTTTACAATAAAGGGAGGTTACAATCTTTAAGTTTTTATTTGTAAGTAATTGAAAACACCACAAAAGAAACAAAAGTCTGGTAATAATGACAATAATAACTTTGCAGGGCTAAACTTTGAGTTTCAGTAATATTGTTGATAGTTTTTGTTGTTCTTAGCGCCTCTGCCAATTTAGAAATGAGCCCTAATTACTGTTGGGCAGGTATGTGTCAAATAATAAACCAAAACCAGGGTTTGTTTTGACGGTGGAGTTTGCATCATTAAATATCATTGTTAGTGACTTTCTGTTATGGTTTTACTCAGTTTCCAGGGTGGTGAGAAGTGCAGCAGTTCGGGACGACTCCAAACCAGCTGACCGTAAAGGTGACGCCATTTCAAGCCTCTTAATACTGTATTGTTTTTCTCATTTTCTCCTTAAGTTCTAACGCTGTGACCTTTGACCTTTAGACGCTGCACGGCAGGTGTTCATGCACGAGTCTGACGCCTCGAACTTCTTCAAACGCCGTAGTCGCCGTTCACCCAAGTACTACGCCGAGGTCCAAGGTAGACAGACATGTGCTTCTATTAACAAAAGGGATGATTAGGTTGGGTTAAGAATAAATTTTTATTCAGCCCAAGTTATTTCTGATGATGTTTTCTTGGTATGGCATGAATTAGACACCTTTGGCCTTATAGATGTGATAAAGTGTGTTGAGGCGGGTTTCACCGGCGCACAGCTGGGCTTGGACCCATAAAAGCTGCATGGCGCAGGAGCCTCGGGGTACCACGGTGCAGGCTCTGTCTTTTTTCAGTATGAAAAGCTCTTTTTTTCATTACGTCATCAAACACAACATCATTTTACCAACTGAACACACAAATAAGCTATTCAAGACGATTTTCAGGCAGATTATCAGATATAAACCTTTAATTATTGTTTAATGGAAAGTCTAAAGCTGCCAAAATGGAGAACCTTTTCACTGATGTAACTCTGTTCATGGAAAGACCATTAAAGAAGTCTGGATGTGCCTGAGCGCCCCTCCAAAAACAGACTTTGTGCCATTTCAGAGAAATAAAATAAAGTGGGCTGTCAAAAAGGGTTGGTTATGTTCATTTTTCCAAGTCTATGTGATTAATTTTGTCTTCTTTTGAGAGATGAGTAAAAGCAAAACAGCCTTCAGAGAATGGAGCAGACTAACTTAAACACGGGATATTTTAATAAAAATCTAAAGAACAATGCAAATAACCTCCTTTCTCACTTTCCTTGTGAAATAACTACAGTGCATTTACAGCGGCTTCACTTTACTACAAGGTAACTGAACACCTGTCATCAAGCTAAGAACACCCTCCCACAGTGAAGCATGGTGGAGGCAGCATCATGCTGTGGGATTGTTATTCCTTGGATCCACACTCAGTCCAGTCAGTGTTCAAAGCTAGTTGTTTCAGCTGCTCTGCAGTCATTCAGACATCTTGCAACGTTGTACGTTGACGACATTTCGTTCTCACAACATAAAATATGAATAAAACTAATTTATAAGTATGTTTGTGCATAAAAGTCAGCAAAACAGCAGGCGTAAATGACCAAAATACTAGACTTGAACTTAAACTTTGAATTCCAGAAGTACAAAGTAGTTATGAATGTATTTGAGATGGGGGTGGGGTCAAAAAGGTCAATCTGTAGGAGTTGTGGTTTTGTCCCTGGTGTCGTGTTTATGTCTTGCGTCCTCAGTCGCTATCTTTGGCATCTGTGATTACTCACAGATGTCTTCACGTTGTCTAATTGGTGTTTACTGTATTTAAGCTTGTGTGCTTGTCTCACTCCTGGTCCTGGTATTGTCTTCTGTTTACTGGTGATGACCTGTCTGTATCATGAGTACCCCTTGATCATTCTGTTTGTTTTGCTGCCCTGTCAGCTCTTTTGTTTTGTTAATAAATTCTTTATTTTTATATATCCATCCTGAGTTCAATTCAATTCAGTTCAGTTTATTTATATATCTGCATCTAAGGAGACCAGCAGACAAGTTGAATCTTGGCTTCGTTGCTGTCTCCCATGCCTGCACCATTGGGTTCACCAGCACCTGCCTTTTGTGACACATTCAGCACCAGAACTACATCCAGTTACACTCATCCATATAATTTTAGTATAATTTGTGTAAAAGTATTATCCAAGCTGAAGTACATCACTAAGTCTGGACAGTTGATTGTAATCATTTTACTCATTTCTTAAAATAATTATTACATTGTTCTACTATTTTAAATAATTTTTAAACCATTCCATTCATCAATGAATGGTTTGTTCTCTGTTTGTTCTGGCTATTTTTATACCCCGTGGCAGAGCGACCCTCGGTCCAGCTGTTCTGTTAGCCTGATAGTGTAAAATAAGGGAGTACAGTACACACTTCTATTTTGGTGTGTGGCTACTTCTAGGCATAAGAAAGGTCACTGAAAATTGTGTTGCCACATCAAAATCAAAGATTATGTACCACCACACTTTGCTTTCTAGTTTTTATATTGCTTAAAAGTAGTTTCCTCAAATTACTGGGGTGGCAGAAAATTAATCTGTGGTGATTGGCCACCACCTGGCTCCACTATTGCACTTGCACTCTTCTCCACAGTGTAACTCCTATCTATTTGATTATCTTGCACCAAAAACATTCAGGTTTACTTCATTCTCTGTTCAGTTCCAGCCCAAAAAATACTCATTTCAAAAACTACAAACATTCACTATTCCAATCCCTCAGTGATGATTGGTGTACCGCTTGTTCTTTTTTCAGTTCCATCGGTGAGCATTTGATTAAGCGCTTAACTTTCCTTTACGTCTGACAATAGAGACTCGGTTCAATTCTTAATTTTATTTCAGAGAATGAACTTGAAGCCATTGTGGGGTTATTTTTAAGTTTCAAGCTAACATGTTTTTGTTTTTAGAACAGAAAGCACCCAGGAGGACCTACATTATATCTGTGCATGGTTAATAAAAAATGTCACGGGGAGAAACAAACAGAAAACATGTGTTTGACAAATTTATTATGTAAATTCTGCTTGGCGTTTCCACAAGGCTCGCATAAAGTCGCCGCTCTCCTGCGAGGGAACATTAATTTTCAGCCTGGTTGTGTAAAACATTTGGTTTTGCACAATGAGTTTGTGTAAAACAACACATGGTGCGGGAGTAAACAACTATTGGATAAATTTCCCTTTGTTCCTCCCAACAGCCGAGCAGAGAGTGAAACGTGCGGCCAGCGAGCGACGGAGGGAGTACAACGAGGAGCAAAGGAACGAATACGAGAACTACGTCGAGGAGGATCGAGATGGTAAGAAGGAGGTGTCGAAGGCAACCCAGCATACTGTCATTAAAATACTAAATCTAAAACGAGGCCATGCATTAATTAAAGAAATGGGTTTTAAACTAAGATGGAGTGTGACCTGTTAGCTCAGAGTATATGCAGATGACTCTCAGCTACTACCACACCACACCTGAGCTCAATGTCTGTAAGATTATCTGAATAAAAACCATTTTCGTATGATTTGACGGCCAACTTGAATTAATTTGATTCCAGTTCTAGACATAGTCTGTGTTCTAATAATATAGATATTTTGCTAACAGACAAAAGGGCTTCAGTTCAGTTCAATAATACTTTATTAATCCCAAAGGGAAATTAAATGTTGTTGTTACTCATTATCCTCGTTTCATTAAGAGATGTTATAGATACTGATGGCTGTAGACAGGAAGGATCTCTTGTAAAGGTCCATCCCACAGCGGATCCGAAGAAAAAAGCCGCAGATGCCATTCGATCCATCCACTCGGACTCGGATGGCCTCTCAGTTCCCCCAGGCTGCAGGACCACCCGAATGCTGGGCAGAACTCCTCCCAGAATGATGGCCACTCCTTCCAGCAGCCTGCCGAGCTCCTCGTTGCTACAGAAAGACTGCTGCAGGTGCCAGGGGGACGATCCTGGTCCTTCTGCTCTCACGAGCCGTGTTTCCTGATAGTTCCAGGATCTCCTTAGCTCTTAGGATCTCAGTGGTCAGGCACTCAGGCACAGCTGGCAAGTAGACGGGAATGCATCCACTGAGCCTCCTTTTCAACTCATTTGAGATTTGACACTGTAGCTGAGATATCATTTGAGCTTTTGAGATGTTAATCAGCTGCTCCCGGTTGTAAACAAAACACCTTGTTATGGTTATGCATCGTAACAAATGTCCAAAAGTAAAAAAGTATTAGTAAAACTCCTTCCAGCTGCACAGCATCTGGTACCAGAGGAAACAATCATCCAAAAAAAAAGTGACTTACATCCAGAAAAACAGGAATTATAGTTTCCAAAAGCAACATTTCAGAATGAAGGTAACAGAGCTGCTCCAACATGTAGCTGCCCAGAGCGGCGCAATTCTAGAACAATTCTAGAACCCAAGTCTTGACGCCAAGAGTTAAAGCAAAGATCTTGCAGAATATATGAGTATATGCTGATGACTCAACTACTACTACACCAATAGCTCAACACCTGTACATTTAAATCAGGTTTAGCCACTTTTGTGTTTGCTGAGCACGGTTGGCTGTGACGGCCATCTTGAATCTGACTTAATGGTTATGACTTGTAGATATTTTCTGAGCATTTCATTAAAATCCATCCAATGTTTCATGAGATATTTTGCTAAAAAAACAGACAGCTGGAGACTGAATGCAGTAAGTTTGAACCACTTTGCCAAAAACTGAAGGAATGTCAGCAGTCTGGACTGGGGTCAACCGAGACCAGATCAGACTGGATATGATCCTGTGGACCGCAGGAGGGAACCTGGGACTCCACAAAGACTCAACGTGTTTATTTGTGGTCCAGCAGAAGTTCACAGTCCCTGCGGTGCTCGGTAATTGTTGCTTTTACAGTTTCTAAACTGAGAAGTACGTCCCACAAACACACGACCTGCCTGGATAGGAAACACCAACGTGGTGATGTGAGGGGAGACTGTAGAAGACAAATTCATCTCCACCAACACAACCCATGTGATCAGTGGGGACATTAAATTTGTAGGTTTCCTCTGAAGATGCCATAAAGAGATAAAGCTCCAGTTTATGTACAAAGTATTTCCAGTATTTTTTATTTACAAAAGGTCTAAATTAATGCATGTTTTATTTTTCTCAAATTAGATTAAAAGATAACAAAATATTCTGCTGATGCATCTACTGCCAAAAACAAAAGTTATTGTGCAACTTTGCTATAATTTAAGAAAACATGCCAACATTTTGATGAATGACTGAATAATAGAGCAAAGGACCATGGTGGTAGATTTTATTTTGATCTATAAATTAGAATAACTTTATATATTAATATATGTATATATATATATATATATATATATATATATATATATGACATTAAAGTCAGAATTCTGACTTTAATCAATTTAATTCTGTGATTAAAGAGAAAAAATAACCCCCAGAATACTGAGAAAAACATGAGAAGTTTGACTTTAATCTCAGAATTCTGTGATAATTTATTTAGTATTTTACTGTGGCTCTAATTCTCATTTGTAGTATAAGAGTAAAGAGTAAACGTTGACACCTGTGTTTTATTACGGTTACCATGGTAACTGCACACCTGTGTCTCTCATTTCTCGCCTGCAGGGTCAAAATGAGAGGCAGACAAAGACTAAAAAGTAAGCCTCAAACAGTCATTGTGTAAAAACTACAAGTCGGATCTTAAAAATTCTTGATCTTTGAGCGACAGAAGATCCTGAAGGTCACATGTGTGAAAATTTAAATGTTTTATATAGTTTACATAGGTGATATGACAAGTTAAAAAGAGCCTTACGTACCAATTTCAAAGAGCTAAAAACTGTTGTGCTCTGCATTCTGGGTAGATTTGAGAGAGAAAAAACTCTTCTGAAGTGAGACACAAATTGAGTGAAAGACGACAAAAATATGGAGGTTTAGTGCTATAATCGCTTTTATAAACCAAAAAGAAAAAATGTCTAACAATCCGAAAGCGCAAATCAGTGACATCACCGTCAGTTGAACGTTCTGTGGAAAAATCTGGAAAAAAATCGTCCAACTTGAACTACGATTGTGCAAAAAAACAGTGAAGTTATTAGTGTGAGTACAGAAATGTAAAGGCCCAGCTGTGTAAGGCCTGTGAGGCCCAACTGTGTAAGGCCCAACTGTGTGAGGCCCAACTGTGTGAGGCCCAGCTGTGTGAGGCCCAACTGTGTGAGGCCCAGCTGTGTGAGGCCCTGAGGCCCAACTGTGTGAGGCCCAGCTGTGTGAGGCCCAGCTGTGTGAGGCCCAGCTGTGTGAGGCCCAACTGTGTGAGACCCAGCTGTGTGAGGCCCTGAGGCCCAACTGTGTGAGGCCCAGCTGT